TGAATGGGCATGGTGCCCTGGCTGGATGGCTCCTCTCCTGTTTCTCCAGGTCCAGATCAAGGAAGAGACCCGCTTGGTGTCCATCATTGACCAGATTGACAAGGCTGTGGCCATCATCCCCCGAGGTGCCCTCTTCAAGACTCCTTTCGGACCCACCCATGTCAATCGGACCTTTGAAGGTGAGTTCCCCGGGGCCCCTCTCAAGGGTGGGAAGGTGTCTCTTCCCAAGTGTAGTTGGACATATGTCTGGGAGTTTGAGGGAACCTGCCCACTTCCTTGCAAAAGGAGAAGCTGTGGCCATATCACCTGGGAGAATGTGACTGATGACCTGGAACCAGTGAGTCACTGGACTCTGACTCTCTTCTGCCTGAGGGCATGGGAGAGCACATGGTTGCTTGGTGCCTATGGCTTTACATGGGTCTAGGCCACCTGCCTTTTCCCACCTTCCTTCTCCTTGGACTTTTTTTTTTTTTTTTAAGAGATGAGGTTTCACTGTGTTGTCCAGGCTGGTCTCAAACTCCTGGGCTCAAGTGATCCTCCTGTCTCGGCCTCTCAAATAGCTGGGACTATAGGTACATGCCACCTCATCTGGCTTCCTTGGACTCTTTATTGCAGGATCCAGGCCAAGTTTGGACTGAGGAAACATGAATCCCTCTCTTTCCTTCCGTTCTCTGTCAGTAGTTGACTGGGTCCTTTGCAAGCCCCTCCATGTGGTCCCAATGCAGAGAGAAAGGGACCTGTGGTGTTTGGGGCTGACCATTTTCTTCCTGCCACCCCTTTCTAGGACTGTCCTTGTCTGAGGCCAAGAAGCTCACTTCCTACTTCCACTTCAGAGAGCCTATTGAGCTGAAGAATAAGACCTTGCTTGAGAAGGCTGACCTGGACCCCTCCCTGGATTTCATGGACTCCTTGGAGCATGACATCCCCAAAGGTAATAGTCCATTAACTCGAGGACATGGATCTGCCCCCACGTCAGAGCAGTGGGCCATGCCACCTCTGAGACTGGAACCAAGGAGCTGGGTGGGCATTGGTGGTTCACCAGGGGTTCTTGAGGGTGGGGCTTCCCCAGGGCCCACCTCATAGTAGACACTCGGTTAATATTTTCAAATGGCAAATGGTAGGATTGTTTTCCATATGCTTCCACAGAAAGGAAATACCTCAGTGTCTCTTGATTTTCATAGCAATCTTGAATGGAGGCAGATTGGGAATCTTCCCCCAAACACTCCTAAAAATATCAGCTGCACATACATCTCAACTCTTAGTTTTGGGGTTCTATCTGATGCACATACATGGTGTTCAATAAGTGGGTATTGGTTGGCCGAGTAGCAAGCCACCTGCTAAGGAAATGAGTTCTGTACATTTGCTTTCTGTTATATGTGTGGTACTTTTTAATTTTAAAACACAGCTTCATGGGACTTCTTGTGCCACTGGGACCACCTGGCCCAGGCACAAACCCAGAAGTTGTTGGTAGGGCCACCAAGACCTCATTTCCTTCCCTTGAGCTTCGCCAGTAGATAAGAGTGTGTCATAGGATGCTAACCCACGACAGGCGCCAGGTTCTAGGTGACTGGGGGCCAGGCCCAAGGCATGGACTCAGTCCCCTCTTCTTTCCCTCCCATGTGGGTGTTTCTGAGAATGAGAGGGATCTAATGATGACGTTGGCAACGATAATCACAATAATAATAACTAACTCATAAAAGCAGTGACACTACACCGCTTATTGTGTGCCAGGCACTGTACTCAGCCCTTGCTGTGCCTTATCTCATTTTAATCTTCACAGCTAGCCTATGAGGTGGATATTATTATTATTCCCATTTTGCAGAAGAAGAAACAAAGGTTCAGAGAGTTAAACTCCAGGACACAGTAAGTGTTAGAGTGTTAGACTCCAGGATGATGGCATTAACTGCGGTGTCGAGTAGATGGTGTTTCCTTTTAAACAGCAGTGGGAGTGACAGGACCACAGTCACCCTCGCCACTAGGGGAAACTCTCCCGAGGAGCACCGTGCAACCCAGCTGGGCTGGAACCCAGGATGGGGGTGGGCTGGCAAGGGCTCTGGAATCAGACAGCCTGGGCTGGAGTCCTGAATCGGCCACTCACTAGCTGCTTGACTTTGGGCAAGTCCCTCAATTTCCTTGTGCCTCAGTTTCCTTGTTTCTAAAAGG